ACAACAATAATACAAAAGAAAACTCGTTGTCTTATTCACAAACTTATGCTTTCATACAATTCGCTACAGAAATTACATAAAAATAAAAAAATAAAAAAAACAATCAAACAAAATAACAAAAGTAAAATTTTACACTTAGTTACACAGATCACTTTTTCTCACTAGAGGCAAGATCTTCCTCTTCAATGCCCTCATCCAAGGGGGTCTGGGTGACATCGTCTTCGCCTATCTTCACAAGGCTGAAGTCCACGTCTGGGAACAGCTCCTGTGCCTTGTGCTTGAAGGCCATCCAGTCGCTGTCCCAGAACTCGCTCATTTCATGCTTGTAGAAGTCAGACTGCTGGAAGCTCTCGATCACTTCCTCTTCACTCCTACCTCCAGTGGCCGCTCCTAACGGCCCAGCCCCCTCATTTCCCTCCTTCGCCAAGCTGCTAGCGACAACGGCATCAATGGCCATTTGGAAGTCGGCTGAATCCTTGAATTGCTCTACAGCTACCAACTCGAACTCTAGCAATATCGCCTTGTGGCGCTCCGCTTCCAACTCTGATTTGGTTGCGAAGAGCTCGGTACTAGCTCGCTCCGCTGAGTAGCTTGCACCAGTGTCAATACCTCTATGTTCTTCGCCCTTTGCGCATACTTCAACCCCTTGGCGCATGCACTCCGAGCGACCTTCCTCCACCCCACTGCCTCAACCCTTAGGTTCTGCAACTGCAATTTTGCCTCTTCTAACTAGGTCTTCAGCGGCCCTACTTCCACCTTAGCGCGTGCTGCCTTATTCATCAAGGCAGTTGCCAGGGTCCCTGCCTCCATCTGGGCAGAGCAGAACCCTCTCAGGAGGTTGGTCTCCGTTAACCGCGCCATCGACTGCACGGCTGCATCCTCCACCACCCCAACAAGGCGGTCGGCTGCGACCCTGGCTTCCTCCCTTTCTGCCAAGCGACCTGCCAGCGCGCGCGCATGGTACAACGCGGTCGCCTGCACTGCACTCGTTTCTAGCTCTAACTTGCTGATCCCAGTCTTCCCTTCGTTGGGACTTGAGGTTACTTCTAGTGTAGGTACCACCGTCGGCACCATTGGGGCACTTCGGCCTAAGGGCTCTTCCGGTACTTGGGCACTTGGACCTTTGTTTTCCTTCGCCACTTAGGCAGTCTCCTTCACCTCTTCTGGAGATGCCTCCACCCTTCCCTCCTTCATCTTCCCCACCATAGAGGCATCCTCCCCCCAACCTTCATCTTTTTCAAGACAGGGGCGTCTTTTCCCCCTCTACAACCGCCCTCTTCTTCTTTGACTTCTTCAACACTGCCTCCACCTCTTACTTACCCTTCTCCTTCAGCGGGTCTATTGGGGGCAGCAGTGGGGCAAAGCCGATTAAGTCTTTGTCGCCCAGCGGTTTGGGACGCGGTCGGACCCGCTTCCTTATCACCAATTTAGGGGCTGGCCCCAATTGTGTCTCCTTACACTTGTCCGTTTTGGCGAACAATCTCCTATCCTCTGCCTCCTCCGCCTTCCTCCGTGCCTCCAATTCCTCCCTCGTCGGATCCTCCTCTGTCGGTTGCGACCCCAGTCTCAGGGAAAACAAGGTTGAAGGAAGGATCAGCTTATCCCACTTCACCTCCTTCTCCTCCCTCCACTCCTTCACCTTTTTCACACTGTTTTCAGCTGCCACATCTAACTTTGGCTCCACCGATTTTGTGGGGACTTTCCATGCTGTGCGAACTCCCCTCCCACCGTTCGCTGATACAAAAAACCATCTCGGTCTCCACCCTTTCACCGAAGACGGCAAGCCTGCCACTAAACCCCAGCTCGCCACTGCCTGCAAGGTCACTCATGTCTCCTGTTGACCCGAGGCCTTGTAACAGGAAAAGAATTCCTCTACTGTCATTTTCGCCCCTTCGGTAGCCTGCGGCTAGGCACTCACACAGGCCATTAGTATTTTCTAGGCATTCGGCATCAACTGCCCTGGCGCCACCTCCAGCTTGTTAAGAACGTCCACCACTACTTGGGGGAGTGGTAGCCTTAGCCCCCCCCGACAGCGCCTCCTCGTACAGCGTGAACCCCACCGGTCGTGCATCCGACGCCCTCTTCTTCGATGTGGGCAGCATCCGATCTACATCCACGGGGATTTGGTACTTCCTTCATACCTCTTCCAACTCCTCCGCCGTAAACGTAGACTTGTCAGCCTTGGTATGCCAGTGGTCCGACTCCACTTGGCTCATTGGCTTAGTAGCTACGATCATTGTCGTCGGACGAGCCCGTACCGCTTGACCAGCTCCCCTCTCCTCCATTCGCTTCACTCGATACTGTTCCGCCAACTCCACCGCGTCGTCGTCTCCTAACGAGTCAAGCCTTACGGCTGGCACTTCATCTCAAGCCACCCCTCCTACGTGTCTACGTATTACTTCGGACGCTGGCACAAGGAAGTTCGCAAAGTGTTGTAGAAGCGTGTCATACGAGACAAATGAATTCACTTCAGGGATGTGTTGGTTTTTTGCGATAAGGTAGGTAAAGCGAATAATCCCAAATGCCCACGGTTTGCCTATATTCCAAGGATCAAGATTAAATTTTGCCAGTTTGAAAATTTTCAAAAATTTCTTCCCCCGTCTCTTCAACACCCTATATTAGCCTACCCCTTCATTTCCTGCTAACGCATCACTTCCCTTATTACGGGATTGTGCCACGTGTATGACCACGATCCACTACTATTTTCCTCTTTTCCTATCTATTTCACTTCACATCATCACGTGCCACACCGCGCCTCGAGCCCTGCGCGCCGCCATTCCCCTTCTCACTCGGTCACCTTTCACGGTCGGCCCTCATCGCAGTCGGTCTTCCCACTCGGACACTTTTCACAATCGGCCTTCCTCGCAATTGCAATCGATTTTCCCACTCGGTCACCCTTCGCGGTCGACCCACCTCTCAGTCGACCTTTTCACTCAGCCACCCTTCACGGTCAGCCCTCCTCGCAGTCGGTCTTCCCACTTGATCACCCTTCACGGTCGGCCCTCATCGCAGTCGATCTTCCCACTCGGTCACCCCTCGCGGTCGGCCCATCTCTCAGTCAACCCTTTCACTCGACCACCCTTCACGGTCGGCCCTCCTCGCAGTCGGTCTTCCCACTTGATCACCCTTCAAGGTCGGCCCTCCTCGCAGTCGGTCTTCCCACTCGGTCACCCTTCACGGTCGATCCTCCTCACAGTCGGTCTTCCCACCCGGTCACCCTTCGCGATCGGCCCACCTCTCAGTAGACCCTTTCACTCGGCCACCCTTCGCGGTCAGCCTTTCTTCCAGTTGGCCTTCGCCGTCGGCCCACCTCACAGTCATTTTTCTCTCCATCGACCCTTCGCAACCCCCATCTTCTTTCTTATTCCCTTCGTTGGACTGAAGCTGCACTTGGGAATAGGGGACTACTGACATAGATGGGCCCATAGGGGCTTTTGGCGCACCACTTAGAGCCCAATGCATAACTCAAACACTACAGGCCAACATTGCTGGAACCCAACGTTGCGCCAAGGACCAATGATACTTAAACACTTGCCAACAGAAGAACCAGCCACGTAAGTAGACAAAGATTTTGCAGAGTTATTGCACTACGCATCAGCCATTAATGAGCTCCCCTACAGCATTTAATGCGATAACCCCTTCATGTCGAGGCAAAACGACTTCACCATAAACAAGGCAAGCTAAAACGTAGGCTTTCGGCCAACATGATAGGTCGGAATGGACAAAGAAATGATGAGCAAAGGATATAAGCAGACTTCTAAGACAAAAGAAGGTTAAGTTCTTTATGACCATCCTATCTCTACATTCCATCACTCTCTTCTCTAACTTGCTCGTCGGAGAGTTCGCTGGGGGACTTCCGTTCCCCGCTGAACTCATGTGCAGGTTTCTCCGTGGGCCCAGCAATCGGACAACGGTTTGGGAGGCGTGAATCAACCCAACCCGTTCCATCATGAGCTAAAAGCATCATCAGTAACCAGTACATGTAATGATGTTGGTGTATTTTGCTATTTTCACAAGGGTTGGGCTGTCTCCAATCCATTATGTAGATTGGAGAGGATACTGTCTAGGTCCGGAGGCTTTATCACAGGCCCAATTTTTTTGATTTGATATGTTCATTTTTTAAGTCTACGTGGATATATTATTTACAAAAAAATCAAATTGACCCAATGGTTATGTGTTTGTACACAATAATATCTTGTGTGACGCAATATCAAATTCCTTAAAAAACACAATAGCTTGTGGTGGTGGTAGGTAGGTCATGGGGATGATAGGGAAGGAGAGTTCCACGATGATGGTTCACAGGAAAGTGGTGGCCGAGGCTGGTAAATGGCTCATGGTCATCAATGATTGTGGAAGAGGCTGAGGAGAAAGAAAAAGAGGAGGTGATAGCAACTTGGCAAGAAAGTGTGGGTTTGGAAAGAGGACAATGTTGATTGTGTGAGAAAGATGAAGCTCAGTTTGGTTTGGGTGAACAAAGGTTAGTGATAGCGGTTGGTGTGCTTTTGACCAGAAGTAACATTAATTTCAGTTAGCTGATAACTTACAGAAGAAGACCTTGTAATTTTTAAAAAATTATAAAATAAAATAAAATAAAATAATCTATAATTGTCAGAATTAGTTAAATCAAACAAAGACTATAAGCACCCATAAGTTGCACTTTTTAAAACCAAATAATACAATTTTTTTTCTTTTTACGATTGACAGAAGAGCATCATGCAAGAGGGAAATTTTCTATAATTGTTAGAAACCCTGAGAAAGGTCTTTATAGTTAACTCAAACAAAAACCAAACACAAGTCTCTCTTTTAAAACTGAATGTAATTTTTTTTTTAATCAGTAGCATGGAAATAGGGAAGAGAAAGCGATTCACATAATAACTTAAAATTTAAGACCCTAGGATAGGAACCACACATGGTAAGGGAGCCATTCACTAGTCCAACCCTTGCTATTGAATGTAAATTGATCCTACCCAATATTTATGTGTCTTGCTCAACAAATGAAGTTTGAAGAAAACCCTGGTAACCTTGGATAACTTGATTAGGTTGTGAATGACTTGGGCTTGGTAATATTCAAACTAAAACCCAAAATTATTACATTTATATAAACCATAATTCTACACAAATTGCTATCATCTCTAATCCTAATAGTTCTTGCTTCAATTTCGACAAATGCTACAGTGACCTCTAAGAATTTGTAAAATTGGACAGAATTGAACCTTTCTCCCAAAATTTATGATTAAGTAGTTATTTTTGTCCGACACTACTTTCATCTCTGCCAGCTTTGGAAGATGACTCCATCAAAGCCAGATTTGAATGCTCTGTGATTATTCTGTGTTGTTGCCCGAGGAACTTTCATTTTTTATCTTCTCAATTAAGCAACTTATTCAGGTTTCTCTGTCCCCAAATTCTCGTATTCTTATCCCAAAACACTCATCACCATTGGATTAGGTGAGAATTTTGAGGAACGAGAAACTTGAAATATAATCTAACAACTATGAGTATTTTAAGACAAGGGACAAAGGATCTAGTGCCCAGATTTACTTCATGGAAACTTTCCCATCAATGCCAGTTGTTTCAATTATACAGACACAATCTTCATTTGGAAGCATTCCTTTGAAGTCACTCCCACAATTTCCATATCCTGATGTAGTAATCTGATTGCTCACTTCCTTCACATTGGCACCAGAGTGTTTTGCTTTCTTGAGGATTTCATAATGCATGAATAACTTCTCAACCCAAGCATTCTTGGAGCAATAAATCTTCACACCAATCAGTGTCGCAACCATGAAAATGAAGATGAGGATACTTGAGACTGCACAAATTTAGAACCATAAGTTAGTGATTCTTTAGTATTAAACATTCCTCTAGAAAATATACATTGAATCTTTACTCAGAAGAGCTTAGCTTTGCCCCAAAGTTAGCTTAGATGGTTACTAAGGTATCGTTTGGTAACACTTACGTTTTCAGTTTTCTGTTTATATTTACAAAATTTTAAAAACTCAAATAAAAACTTGTTTGGCAAATTTTTGATTTATAAATTAGTAGTCTTAGTTTATAAATTTGACCAAAAAATGTAAACTCAAAAAATATGTTTTCGTTTTGAGTTTTGAGTTTTTTTTTTTTTCCACTCAACACTAGCCACCACCCGCCACCATTTCCACCACCATCTTCCACCACCACCACCTGCCACCACCACTCACCACCCACCACCACCCACCCACTCGCCATCACCCACTACCACCAGCCATCCGCCACCACCACCACCACTACCACCCACTCGCTACGCTACCGCCATCGTCACTCACCCTCACCACCACCACATCACCCACACCCCACCCGCCACCCTACCCGCCGCCATCCTCTGCACCTGCCATCACCACGATCACCCAGTCTACCACCACTCACCACCCACTCGTTACCACCCAGCCACCGCTTCACCGGTCACCCAACCCACCAACCACCACCATCACCCAACAAATCGCCTACCCAGTCCACCCCCCCACCGTCACTCACGGACCACCCACCCAACCCACCCCCCACCACCACCACCCACCGCTACCAAACCCACCCCACCCCACCACACCGCCAACCGTCACTCACCCACCCCCACCCACCGACCACCTACCACCACCACCCACCCGCCACCCACTCGCTAACTCATCCACCGCCGCGCCACCCTCCGCCACCTATCCCGCCACTACCACATCCACCATTCATTGCCACCCACCATCATCCACACCCGCCACCACCAGCCACCCACCACCACCAACCGCCCACCACCACCACCCCCCGCTACCACCCGCCATTCTGCCACGCACCTTGCAACCACTACCCACACCCCACTCGCCGTACCACCCACCACCTGCGCCACCGCAACCCATTCCCACCCACCACCCACCACCCAACCACCCAACCGCCACCAACCCACTACCACCACGCCTACTCTGCCACCTCCCACCTGCCCACCCACCTTGGAACACCTGCACCACCACCACCACCCATCGCGCTCCACCGTCACCCCCACTCACCCCACGTGCCACCACCTGCTACCCGACACCACCTATACCAGTCACCACTTTCCCCACACGCGTTCTTCCGGCCGTCACCTGGCCACCACTTGTATTTCTTTACAACTCTTTTTTATATTTTTAAAATTTTTTAAACATTTTGTCAATTACCAAACACATTTGTAATTTATGTTTTTCTAAAAATAAACAAAAAATAAACAAAAACCAGTTTATAAAATTTTTGTAAATATAAACTGAAAATGTAAACGTTACCAAACATGCCTAAACAATTGCCAAAGGAAAGACATCATAGCAATGGCACATCTTGAAATAATAGTTTATTTTTACGCAAAAAATTTATGAAGATAAGCAGAGCATCATAAACTCAAAATCAACAATTTATTTAGTTTTGGATATATTATCATGATGTTGTAATTAGAGATCTTGACTTGGGGCAATGACTGGACCTTATGTTCATAAAAATAAAAAAAAAATAAAAAATTATGTAAAATAAAATAAAAATTGACCGGACCTGTGATAGGAAACATTCAACCAACATTGGCAGATTCAATGAGAATCGACTCAGTGAAACACGCAGATATATATATTCGAAAGAAGGGCTAAAATTAGTTAAAGCTTTATTTGAACTTAGATTTCATTCATTGCACCACTACCTCTTAGACTCAAATCATCTTTAAGCAAGTAAATACTTGATTTACTGTTCCATTCAATCGTTTGACAACATCACTTTTTAGTCTAAAAGTTGAAAAGTTACTAAAAAAAATTAAAAAGTCAACACCTTATATCAAAAAAATCAGACATTTCATTTTCTCTAAAAAACTAAAAAATTATTCCAAACCTACTAATTTTTTTTAATTTCATATTTTAACCTAAAAATTAAAAAATTATTAAAATAACATATCCCCAAACGAGACCCTCGTCTGTTTTCTTCAATTGTTCCACCAGTTTATCAGCAAATAACAAAAATCATATACCAGTCTATAACCATCCAAAGATTTCCAAAGAACTTCACAAAAGAAAGGAGGAAGAATAAAAAATTACCTTTTCCGCGTGCTAAATTGAAACACCTTACAACCCATGATTCACGGCAGCCTCCTCCCATTCCAGGAAAATCCCATGTAAATCCGAGCCCAAAACTATTATCAGACAGGTAAGGACTATATGAAAATGGAATTGAAATAGTCCTCACAGGCTTGCAAGAAACTGGCACGGTTTCAAATGATTCCACAACATAAACATGATGCCTAGGTCCACTCAGGCAGGGGACTTGCACGAAGGAAGGCGAAAGCAGAGAAGAACAGTTGAGGTATGTGTAGTTCTTCACAACATAGTAATATTGGAACGGCGTAAGAGAGAGATTGAGGTTTAAAAACACTTCATGGACACAATTTTTAGGATCAAGAAGGCTTAGTTTTTTGTTATCATAAGAGATGGATTTGACAACCAAATCCCCATATGATGGGAAGTGAATTGTGGTTGTGTTTTCTCTGCAAATTAGTTCGAAACCCGGGTAGCTGCAATCCAGGGGCTGTAGCCCTTGGACTGAGAAAGGAAACAGGATTTCAGGGCCGTCATGGCTGCATTTAACTGCTGGACAATTAGCCTCTGTATCTATGAAGATTGAGGAGAAGAGGATGGTGAAGAAGAAGAAGAAGAAGAAGAAGACTTCCATTAGTAAATTAATCTAGACAAAAGACACAAAGCTTAGGACTATACTAACTATAATATTTATGTCTTCAAATGATGTGTATTTATAATTCGATACTTTATTATAAAGTGGACAGTTAGTTTGGTGTTGACACTTCTTTTAACTTGTGTAATGCCTTTTTTCTTTTACAAAATTGTCCAACAAAATTCATTTATTGACTGTTCAAAAAACTTTTGTTTCTCTGAGCTGTAAAGATAAAATTGTAAAATCCATCATTCAAAATTAGCCATTTATGTAAATGCATATAGATATATTAGGCTCGCTCACACAATCTGTATGACATCATTTTTAATGAAAAATGTTAAACCGACACAAAAATTTGATACTAAAATGAGATAATAGTATACTTGTAAATTATAATAATAATGATGGGTATTATGTTTTCAAATAGATAAAAATCTTAAAATATCACCGTTAAATTTTTTCACACTGATGTGATAAAAGTTAAATTTCAATACACGTTCACGTCAGTACAAATTTTAAACATTTTTTTTTCATATAATCGGATTGCAAAAACAAATTACGTCAATTTATATAATAATTTTGTATAATTATAAAATTAATATGTCACCACTAACTTTTAATATATGTAATTATAAAGAGATTGGGGGGAGAGAGAGAAAAGTGGAAAAGATAAGACTGTCATAGAGGCGGAGAGTGTAAGACCCGCAAGGGATCAAGCTGAGGAAGGTAAAGTGCTCAGCGGCTCCTGAAGTTGTTTTAGTCTTTGTTTTTGTTTTTAATTTTTAGGCTTGATTACGTCCTTAACTATCAGAGAATATTATTTTATTTTATTTATTTATGAATTTGTATTTTTTTATCTTCTTAATTATAAAAATATATCATTTTTATCTTTCCAAATCCGTCCAAATCACTTTCAAAAAGAGTATATTTATACAATTTGTATAATTAAAAAGGTCAATATGATAAAGTGAGAGGGTCTTGATGTAATTAAAGCAAAATTTTTAACAAGAAATTAAATGCATAACAGGGATGGGTGGGAACTTTCCCCCATTGACTTGTACAAGTTGATGCCTTCTTAGTCAAAGTCATCTCAACTGCTAATTTTTAGTAATTTTTTTTTTTAAAAGTATATACTTTTTATTATTATGATTAGTTTTGATAATAAAATTTATTATATTTATATTAAATGTTTAAAAAATAATAAAAATATATATATTTATAATTAATAAAAAATAATACCACGTAATATCCTGTTGATATATAAAAATTTTCCCATGTCAACATTTTCTAAGTCATGGGAAATTTTCTAAGTCATAGGAAATTTGGAAGTAATTTAAAAGAGGTCGATTGGGACCCACTCAGCGATTCCTTTCATCTAAACAAGAAGATAGTAACCATGGTTTGGTCTACACTGCAACCATTAGTCTTTTTTTTTTAAAGTTTTGTTGTCCCTTAGCAAATCCCTGATCCTGCTGCCAAACTTGACAAGTCGTCTTCTTTTTTAATTGAGACTTTGTTTAGTCTTTTGATTTGAGATTTATCTTGATTTGAGATTTATCTTTAAGTATTTTTATTTATTATTAATTAATATCTTGTTTGGAAACGGATTATTTTAATATTTTTTTAATTTTTTATTAAAAGATGTACAGAAAAGTAGATAGAATGATGTGATAATTTATAATGAATTTCTAATTTTTTGATTAAAATTAAATATTGTCAAACGAGACCTAAATTTGAGTTTGATGTCCCCAAATTTTTTAAATTTTGGTATCAGAATTGAACTTTGAGTGATTTTTGTATGACAAGTCTTTGTGCAAATTCTATTTATCTCGTTCTTGTCTTGCCATTTTCTCTTCCAGTTCCATGTATAACAAAGTTGCAGAAGTGGAAGAATGTTAAAAAGTTGAAAAATGATTCATTCTCTAATTTTGATCATCTAATTCCAATTCCAATGATGTGGAATTAAGAGAGTTACACTGTGGGTTGATTGAGAAATTTGAGAAAAAATTTAGAAAGAAAAAAGAAAAAAAAATAGATAAAATGTGAATAAAATATACTTACATTTCACTTAATTTCACATACATTTTTTTCTTTTCCTTTTCAAATCTCTTCCAAATCTCTCAATCAAAAACAACATTAAAGATGAAACAGAGAGAAATATGAGACAATTTCATATAGGTCTTAATCATATCACTAAGATTGAAATCGAAAAATATAACATCTTTCTAAAAAGTTATTCAGTGTGTTTGGTTTGAGTTTTTTGAATTAAATTTTTTGAAAATTGACTTTTTTGATTTTTGTATTTTTTTGTTTTTAGTGAATATTTTTTAAATTTTAAACATTTTTTTTTTACTTTTTTAGATGCACCTTACTTAGATGTATCTAAAAAGTTAAAAATTTATGAAAAAGTATTTTAAAAAATTAATAAATACATAAAAATAAAAATGTACTGAATTCTTATATTTTTTTTTGTATTTTTGATATTTAATGAATTTTTAAAAGATTTTTTTTTATAATTTTTTATTTTTTAGGTGTATTTATGTTAAGTGTGTCTAAAAAATAAAAAAATTACTTAAAATATTAAAAAAATTTAATAAAAACAAAAAATAAAAAAACCAAAAATAAAAAAATAAAATTTTCTAAAAAATATTTTTTAAAAAATAAAAACAAACAAGGTGATTATTTTTCTCCCAATAACTCGAGGTTACTTCACGTAGTCCAAAAATTTCTACATTCATTATCATTTAATTTTAAGTTACATACTTTCAAAATTTCAACATCCCTCCTGAGCTATCGTCATTAATTTCTAGGGAGGGGAGCTATAACAAGCCAAGTGGCTGAGAAAGCAGCAAATTATTCTCTGGCCTTTTTAATATTCAAAAAGAACAAAATAGAAAGCAATTTGGGAGAAGATTACTTAGTGGACAAGGTGTAGAGGACAGGGAAAGTGTAGGCTGTATGACCCATATGTGGAATTCAACCAACCCGATTCCATACCAACCTGATGCCGTATATGTTCACATTCACAATTTCTACACAAAATTTTAATTTGAAATATCAATATGTTATTCAAATTGATTCTATACATAAATCTTATAATACATCAATTAAATCTCACTTACACTTTTCTATTCATGATAAGTTTTTGTACATAAATCTTACAATACATTAATTAAATCTCATTTACACTTCTCGATTCATGATAAGTTTTTATACATAAATCTTATAATATATTAATTAAATCTCACTTACACTTCTCTATTCATGATAAGTTTTTTAAACAAAATTTCTGAATTAATAGAACTTTCCATATAGGGTTGGGTTTTTCTCTAGTCCGATCACGGATTGGAGAGTACTGTTGGGCCTGTGGGGGCTCACTAAGGGTCCCGTTTCAATAATCTGAACCGTCCAATATGTAAAACTCGTCGAGTACTACATGCCAGTAAAACATCACATTGATCAGATATCGATAGTTACGTGATCAAATCAGTTTTGTATAAAAAAAATATATATATATAGTGAAAATAAATGGCTAACAGAAATCTGATCTGATGAGATAGGTATCGATATTCGATCAATGTAATTTTTTATAGGCATATAATACTCGACAAATTCTACACATTAAATGATATAAATTATCGAAACAAGACCCGTGGTAGACCCCCACGGGCCCAACAGTACCCTCCAGTCTGATCATGGACCGAAGGGAAGCCATCTCCTTCCATATATCTATCTATCATATATATATATATATATATATACGTGTGTCATGATTACTGCAAAGGATTTTCCCGTCTCTCCTCTTGCTCAATTGGGTACTTCATTGATTTCTCAACTTTTTAGTGCAATGCTTCAACCAAGCTAACTCAGAAGAGGAAGTCTTCGCTTAACCTCGGAGGAGACCTTTTGACAAAGTGTATTTTTACTTTTTAAGATTAAAGATAATTGCAGAGTATGTGGTATTCAGGTATTGCATTTAATTGATTTTTTTTAATCCATAAAAGGATAAACTACAAATTTAATGAAAATTATATTAAACTAAGCATTTACTTAAAACAAAATCTAACAAATATCAAATTCAATAAACACTACAAGAAAGCTCCCAAAAATATGCTAAGAGAAACTACACACAATTGTGTAACAAGAGTGGAATTCCTTACATCCTCAAAGGGTGCATGAATTCATGGCCAATAAATTAGACTCATTGGTTATAATTAACTGGATTTGAATAAGTAATTATATAAAGGCATATCTAAGCTTACTTTATTGCTTATCTCATTTGTTTTTCTTTTGTTGTCAGGAAATGTGAACTGTAGCATGAATCTATAATATATGTATTTGGAAGGAATTTTCTAAATCCAGAATTTGATGTAGCTATGCTTTCAAATCACAATGTAATATCTATATCTTTTGGTGCCAAAACCAAAGGTATTAAACTATTGTAAGGTATCACAAAGGCTCTTATACAGTTTATACACATCCATCCAGCACAAAAAAATCCAATCTAAATGAGCCACACTTTTTTTCGAGTTTTTCTGAAGCTGAAGAAAGAGAAGGAGAAGAGAAGAAGAAGAAGAAGGAGCTGCACAAGGAGCTGGGTTTCATCAACATCAACATCATCACCATCATCATCATCATCATCATCATCAACAATTTATTTTTATTTCTTTATTTTTATTTTTTTTTTCAGATCCAGAACAACTGAAAAAATATATATAGAGAGAGAGAAAGAAAACAGATCAACATCATCATCTTCTTCAGATCATCATCTAGAAAAAAAAGAGAATCGGAGATCGAGAAGAATTGGAGATGAAATCAACTAGAAAAAAGAAAAAGAAAAAATAGGAGAAGAATCGGAGATCGAGATCGACCCCCGGCCGAGGTAGCCCCAGCGATGGCGATCGATCGAACCTCTCTCTCTTTCTCTTTCTCTTCTTCACTCATCTCTCATCTCTCTTTGCTCTGCTTCAGACATAAAAGGAGGGAAAAAAAAAAACAGTCCAAAACGACATCATTTTGGGCTGTCGAGCCATTCGGGCCACAATGATTTCGAGCTACAAGCTATTAAATAGCTTGACGAGTGTGGTGACCACGCTTAGGGGTGTTTGTTGCAACTTAAATAACATTGTTTTGAAAAGCTGGCTAGGAGTGCTTCTCAGCTTTCTACTTATATGAGAAGCTAATTTAATTAAAAATTTACTCAAATATCCCTCTTCTTAAATGTAAACAACCCACCACCCACTTATTTTCTTCTTAGCCCAAACCTCTATTGCTACTGGGGGCCAAAAAAAGACAATTACATAAGAAAAAGCAACTTTACAGCTTAATTAGAAAAATATATTACAAGCTCCTATCCGAAGTTATGACCTATAATCTATTAAATAATAATTTATAATCTATTCTAGCAGCTACATCAAACAGGCCCTTAGTCTCTTTAAACAGAATGCTTCACAAAATACTCAATTGAGACAATACATTGAACTAGCTCCGTCAGTCCATACCTAGTTTGTGGATCAATAGTTCCATAGGTGCTTATCAGATCCAACAGTACCTAAAATTCAGCAGCTACACCAAACAGGCCCTCAGTCTCTTTAAACAGAATGCTTCACAAAATACTCGATTGAGACAATACATTGAACTAGCTCCGTCAGTCCACACCTTTAGTTTGTGGATCAATAGTTCCATAGGTGCTTATCAGATCCAACAGTATCTCAAATTCAGCAGAGTGAACAGACGTGAAATTTAATTAAAACTCCAATCTTTTTCCTTTGAATTTAAAGGCAACTATTAACAATTCAAAAACAAAGGGTTACACTGCAATGCTGAAACCTTTCATGGTACAACATGAAAGACCAAGTATAATGGCAACAATATAGGCAAACAACCAAGTCTTGAATCATCACTGTACCAAGATCAAATGTTGAGATCAGACAATTTAATTGAGACGCATGTTTACTCACACTAGAGATGATACACTACAAACAACTGGACCCAAGATGGGAAATTAATGAATTGGAGGGAAAATGAATAAGTATCAAAGGACCTCTCTTGCTAGCCTCAAAGGTTTTTCCTTCACAAATGCCACGTCACCATTGGTTACCGTCAGCAGATGATGATCCAACTCTTCCTCTTCACTCTCTGCTGTTTCTAATGATCCAACGGAATCTGATCCATCATCTGTTTTGACACAAGTCATTCAGTAGGGAAAATTGCTTAGAAATTACAAGTTAAAAACATATTAAAGTTTTTTTTTTCATTGCTGGGTCATGTAAATTAGCAAATGCATACATAGACATATTATACAATTCCTACGTATGTATAAAAATGATTTTATCGAACTAAAAGTATAAAGTCTACTCCACTGAAAATTTAGAGTACAGCAATAAATTCATGCAAGAATGCTAGACGATCCTGTATAGATATGCTGTTGCCCGTAAAAATTAATGATGAACCGTGTAGGCAAGACAACTTCAGTGCCTGCTTAAATGCTGTTGCCAAGGACTTCCATAGTTAGTTAAACCACAAAATAACATGTTTTTATTATCTCAACCCAAGTTAATTTCTGTCTCCCTTATCTCTTAGCATTACCCTCAGCGTGGATAGTTTCACTCTTCCCAACTGGATCTATGTTCATAAAAGGCCAGACAATTTTATGCTAGCTGCAATACCTAACACCCTATTTTATTTGGGCTTTGTAAAGAAAAAACATTAAGCACAAGAGGAGTTGAAAAGATAAGTCAGAAAGGTGCAGTTCAGAAAATGTCACAGGAGGATTTTGTATGAAATCTGTTAAAAAAGAGAACGAATACTTTATCATGCATAATTTTTTCACCTTTTATATTTGCATGTTCGCTATGCATAGCAACACACAATAGGCTTCGATGAATCATATCTTTCTCGCACAGAAAGTGTCAACAATTTTCTCATACATGAAATAAACATCATCATTATACAAATTGAATATTATTAACCTACGAAACATGGTTGTACAACAAAACAACTAACCAGGATATGATGGATGATCAGGTAGATGTCTGACTGCTGTAAGCTGAATATTTTCTGGCAGTAGACAGTTGCAGAAAGAACCTGAAACTTCAAAAAGGTATCAAATTAGATAAAGATAAAAGCTAATCAGATGTGGACCAAACAAAACCTAGATTCGCATGGCTAAGAAATGCAGGAAGCTACATATCCAGAACTACCCAAGACCCGTTTAATTATTCATTTTGGAAAAATAACTGCATTGCATGCAATCTATGTCAGATAGTGCTCAAAGGTCACCTCATGTTTTAGAAGCTTGCTTTCGTACCGTATCCAAACGTACCACATATCCATAACCAATGTAATTGACAAGCAACTTGCCAAAAAACCAATGTAATTGACAAGCAACTTGCCAAAAAAAAAAGGAAGAAAAAGAAACTGAATTTGGCTCTACCAATAAGAAAGTTGAGGAGGATCTTAGAGCTCAAGTTAGCTCATGAAGAAAAGTGGATAATAACTTTGAAAATGGCAGTTTTGAATTGGATCAAACCTCTGCACTAATTCTAAAATAGAAGTACTTTTTAGAACCCAGGCTTTGGTGTTTTCTTTGCTTTTGCTAGTACTTTGTACTGGTTTACTTGGGATTTTGCCTATTTTGATGGTATTCATTTAATATTCCTTCTTCTATAAAATTCATTTTACAAACAAGCTTCAAAAACAGCATCGTAAAAATCAAGTACCTTCTTTTACACCATGTAAAGTATGACCACAAGCAAAGGCATTTCCCCCTTACCTAATCGTGCGAGCCTGTTCACCCATCCAGGAATAGGCTTTCCAGTGAGCCGCATACAGACTTCAGCAGTAAAATGGTTGCAATTCTTGGCAATCAAATGGTAAGTGTCCCCATGATATTTCCCAGAAAGATGCTCCATGAATGATCGAAATTCTGAACAAGACATGTCTGTGCTGCCCAAAAGGACTGACCGTCTAAAGATAAAACCAGGGCAACTTCTAGGTTCCACCTCAAATACTCCACTTGTTGGGTACTCATGTGCTCCATATCCGTACTCCAATCCATGCACTATCATCCAATGCAGCATAAACATGTTATGCCAATGAAAGACTTAAGATATTAACCAACAGTACAAATGGAGAAAACGAGGAGGCACAAGATCATTACAAAATGCTGACAAACTTAATCAAATGACGTGCACAACGGTATAAGAACTTCCACCAAAAATTAGACTTGAATAGGCACAATGTCTTCCAAAAAAAACAAAAATATAAATGTCCTTAGTTATTTGTATTTGCATGCCATCTCAAGTTAAGATGTCATCACGTATTGCGCACAGATTAGTCATGACAAATGAGATGCTAAAGGAAAACAAAATATTGGATGACTGGTGATCCACCAATGCAAAACTAATCCAGATTTCTGTATTGCAACCAATCCTGCCGTCACTGAATTTAAGCAGCAAACTTAGTATAAGCAAATAGATTGAGGATCAACTCCAATTGAAATAGTGAAGACTAGATGCTGAAAACTCCCTTCTGTCTCTAAGTTCTCAAGGACTAAAATTCTTTACACAAAAGACAGCCTATTCAATTTGTCAGATGCCTAATCTTGATCACAAACCAAATCCAACTTGTATATGCATAGACCAATTCAAGTTCACAACTACTTCCACCAACCTTTCTCATGATTTCTTGATGCAAGCTTTCGATTACAAAACAATCTTGACTCGAACTCGAAGGAGCGAGCCTTCTTTGACTTTCAGCATCCTCCTATCTATTGACGAGAAAGGGAATCTTAAGAAAAAGAAGATTCAAAGAAAGGGAATATCATAGATTGGTTTGACTTCAAGGCAAGTCCCAACTATCTCCGCTAAGTTTCAAGACACATTGAGTCGTATGTTTATGTTTATCTTCAGTTACTAAGCCACAATATAATTTTTTATGCTTTTCATGTATTTTAAAAATTTTGGTGGACATGAGCTGCAATAATGGCATGGTTATGGTATTATTTGTGGTATTCAGTCTTCTTCTTCTTCTGCTTCTTCTTTTTAACTTCAGTATGGTTTTATGGGTTTTACTAGTCAATGCCTATAAGTTTCTAATATGAAGTCCAACTCCTTTTAGAGTTAAAATTACTTAAAAATCTATATATAGCTACTCAAGTCTTCCGTACAGTAGAAACTTAATTTAGAAAATTTTCAAAAGATTTTAAAGATCTCTTAGGATGGTTTGATATGATTCCAACCATAGGTGTAACACCTTAAGGACTTTAGGGCCAATTCCTAAGATCATCTTCCCTAAAAATATAACAACAATAAATGCCATGATGTTTCTAAAGACCAAGCAAAGAACATTTATTGATACAAAAATTAAGAAAGTTCATTTCATATTTTCTATAAAAGTTTCTATCCTAAAAAGAAATCACAATGGAGAAAAGGATTAGATATCATTTTAGTAGATGAAATTCTTGAATCCACAACAGAAACAATCTTCAATCCACAAGGAAAATAAGAAAATTCTCTAAAAATATTATTGATTGAATGAACTCCATAGGCCTGTAGGTTATATGATTATTTACAATAAACTAAACCTAATACTTGTAGAGCAAGTAATCCAAAATTAAGTAAATTAGAATCAACACACTAGGAAACCTATCTTGCGTTGTAAGGAATAAATCTCTTTTTTTGATCAGCAACAACAAAGATATATAAAGGCACAAGGCCAAAAAGAGGTGAGGATAAGGCATCCTCTACAAGAAAGATGACACAGCGAAGAAAAAAACCAAAAAGAAACAAATCAAAATACAAAAAGACAAATGGTATGTTTGGTTTGAGTTTGGGAGACGAGTTTTAGAGATAAAAAGTACGAAAAGTTGTTTGGTTTGGTTTTTTTCAAAAGATGTTTTGAAAAATTATTTTGAGAGAGAGTTTTGGAAAAAGTGATTGATTTGATGTGTATGAGAGAGAGATTTGTTTGGAAAACTTGTAAACCAAACAAGTTTTGGAAAAAATTTTTGGAAAAATTTGTTTGGTTTGATTACTTTTGAAAACTTATTTGTAGAGAATTTTTCCCAAAAAATTTTTGGAAAACATAAACCAAACAAGGCCAAACAGTTACTTCTACACAATACAAATTGACACCCAATTTGTAGCAAACATAAAAAGCGGAATCCCTCGAAACACTAGACTTGCCGAGGCCCAAAAAGACGCCAAGTATCTCACGCTATCCCATAAATAATCTCACAACAACGGATGAGCCAACAAATGATACGTCACCGGAAGAATTTCTAGAGATTGAGCTCTGAAGGTTCAGTCGAACCAGCAATAGACATAGGTACATTCCTTGTTGCTTTGAATATAACTTCAAACACTTGTACTCTATCTTGGTGTTGAGGCTAATTGTAAGTGAACCAATATCTTCATCAAGAATTTTAACTAGAAACCTAATAATTCTAGGTTATTGCATTCTAAACCACAAAATTCCAAGTACAATATAAATTCCTAAAAACTTGTCTTACATTAGGAGGGGGACATGAGGCGATGATAGGTTAGGGAGGGCTATCCTCTTCTGTAGATCATCACCATTAGGATAAAGAGAAAAGAAATGGAAAATGAATCTTAATGAGAACCGCCATCACATACGTTGCATACAACCAACCACCCAACAAATTATTTTAAGCCTCACCCACCCAACAAATATCTTTTCATGTCATTAATATCCTTGTTCTAGCATTTAGCTCATTATGCATTGTAAAGCATAGATCTTCAAAATAAAAATAAACAGATAAAAAACTATGTGTGAGTACGTCTAAAAATAGAAATCTCAGCAGTATCAATTATGATTCACTATCACTCATAAGAACTGTTTATGGGTTACTGGATTCACGTCTTACATTTATTAAGCCAATATTCATGTCTTACATGTATTAAGCCAACACAATCTGTTTGTTAAACTAGTTACACGTGTTGTGTCATGTATAATAAACAGATTCTTCAGGGTAGAAGATTTTGAAACGATTAATAAACGGTCCTGTTTGGGTTGATCATTTACTGCGATGCAACACCAATGTGACGCCATGACTTGAACATGACTAACCCACCATGATTGCCACCCCTATCATATGCTCGAATCTACTGTGGGAGTGCTTCCAATTTCAATCATTGATTACTCTCCGAGTCCCATCAACAATCCACAGATGTTGTACATACTAAAACACACTTTCCTTTGACTCTTCAAAAAGAATACGCATTATTACTAACACTTTTTTCAACCAGGATTCAATCAAGCTCATCATCAATGCAACAGAACGCAGACTTTATACAATTTTAATCAGCCAATGCATCACATCCACAACAGATAGAAGTTTTCCCTACGAGCCGCAATAAAAAAACCTCGTAAATTCTAAAGTTATAAATTTATAGGATTATGGAGTAACTCCATGTACATTCTCTTCAAGTAGCCATTTTGGGAAATTTGTTTCCTTTTTCTACTGCCATCAATTTATTTTCCATTTGGAAATAAAGCTCCGAGTATCGCTAAACCAAAACTGTACAGCAGTAAAAAGTCAATAGCCATAACAACAACTATAGTGTCACATTCAATTATATGGCATCTAAATAAAACAATAACTCATCCAGATGTAGAAAATATACTGCATGATCACTTATGTGAATTCTTCGTTTTTAGCATAAACAACATTTAAAAATAAAAGAAAACAAAACAAAACAAAACAAAGTATACCTTCAATGCCTGAATGGAAGATTCCAAGCCCAAACCAGTAGAGGTAATTGTTCATAGGGGTAAGATCATAGACATTGAGATACAAAAGAGCACGATTATTTCTCTGCTCCTTTGACAAACTCGAGCTCGCGGACGAGAACAGCCGCATTGTATCTATCACCCACCACCCCCCTCAATGCTACAACAACAACAACAATCTCACAACCCCAAACTCAACATTTGCTACTATGCCCCAATAAAAAAACCCTAAAACCAAATTTAATACGAAAATCAGCTGAGTAACAGTTTACAAGTCAATCTTCAGAAATTAACACAGTAGCAAAAACCCTAAAAGCACTGGTTTCAATAACAACAAAGAATTTGAATTCAGTTTAGTGAATTAGCGGATCGAAGCTGAAAAACCTAGAGAATGAAAACGGGTAAGAAAAGGAAACAAAAATTTGAGCTCTCCTGCAATACATATGCATATATATATATATATAGAGAGAGAGAGAGAGAGAGAGCTTACAGTTGGAAATTGGGAAGTCCAAAATTTGTGGCGTTTGATTTGTGTGTGAGGGAGGGGTTGTTGGAAGGAGGTTTTAAAAGACCATTCTTTTGGAGGAAAGGGAAAGAATTAGCTTTGGAGGACGGATAGATGGCTTTGGGATTAATTAGCTAAAATAAAAAGTGCAGGTGGTGTTGAAAATGTACTACATTTATACGTACAACCATACTTCAATCATTTAACAAGTTCCTCCAAAATTACATTCCAACTATTTTTCCTCTCTTTTTAGTGGGTTGTTTGATAAATGTTAGATTTGTGTACTTTTTAAATTTTTATAGAAAAAATATTAAGCCTCCGTTTGGCAAGGGCTTTTTCAGGTTTTTTTGACTATTTTAGCCACAAAAAACAAAATAGGCTATTTTAGCCATAACAAACAAAACATCACATCCAACCTATAATCATTACATTCTTCTCTCACAAAAAAAGTCAAAAAAGCCAAAAAGCCAAAAAGTCCTTCCCAAACCAAGCTTTTTAGCCCAGGCTAAAATAGCCAAAAAAGTCAAAAAGCCAAAAAGCCAACCCACTTCCCAAACGGAGGCTAAATATGAGTTGTGATTGAAGTGATATGGTAGGGAGATAATTTGACTCTAAAAAAAGTGATAATGTAATTCTAATAAGATGATTGTAATCTAAATAAAATAATGTTAACACATGTCAAGCAACCATTAAATTGGGAGCGATTGTCCTAAATTTTATTTTTTTTAATAAAGACAATAATAATTTAAAAGATTATATTATGCTTATTTATCTATAGATTTGTTCATATGACTGCCTATCTATTCACCTGTCCATTGATCTATCATCCGTCGTCATAGCGATTATTTGTGCACTCAAGCGATGAAGTGAAGTATCCAATATCTCTGCATGTAAACTGAACTTTTGGAAAATCTATTTCACCGCTCAAGTGGTTGGCCTATACGTTTGCACCACCTTTTACTTATACCCAATGTTTTAAAAACCGGACCAGTGAACGAACCGAAAAAAGGGATCGGGTGGACGGGTCACCGGTTCAACTGTCGGATTGAACCGGAATTGAACCGTGACATAATAAATATATTAAAATTATATTTAAATAAAAATATAAGTAATAAAATTATAAGTGCCATACGTATAGAGAGAAAATGTGATAACCCCGTTTCATATTATGCTGATTGATCTTAATATATATTTTGAAATATTATTAATTTCAATTTTGGAAGATGAAATCAAATATTTAATATTCCCTCCATATGATTTTAATTCAAATAATTTGATTGAAAGGAGAGCAAAAATTTTAGAGGGATATCAAATTTTTAATATTCCCTCCAATACATTTGATTGAATCCCACATGGATTTCTTGAGTCTTTTTGAAAGAATTTTTTTCTTATAAATAGGTGAAGACTTTCACAATAATTTCATCAAAACTCTTAATGGGATTCCTCACAAGAGGAGACCCTTAAAAAAGAGTTTCAAATTAAAAATTTCTTATATTCTTATATTTTATATATAATATATATATACATATATATAAAATAAGAAAGAAAGAAAAGAAAGAAAGAAAAAAAAGGAGCCGGACCGGTTCGATCAACCTGTGACCGGGTCAACCGGTTCGCCGATTTAACCGGTGGGTTCACCAGTTTTCAATAAATAGTCCGGTTTTTGCAATTGGCCGGTTTAAGAGGGCTAACCAGACCGGAACCCCATCCGGTGACCGGTTCAATCGGTTGAACCGGTCGGTCCGGTTCGGGTTTCAAAACCTTGCTTATACCACTCGAGCGATCTTTGCGACTCTGTTTAGTATAAAGTGCACTGTTTGCTATTTTTAGAGTTTAACCCGTCCAGATTCTCAAAAAAGTTTAACCCTTCTGAGGTGAAGACGATGGTGGAAGAAACACATCAGGTTTGATTCAATTCGAGCATGAATTCACTAGATAATTAAGAATACTCGTGTGTTCTTAGTGGATTATTTTGTGGTTTTAGCTCGTGATTTTTTTTTATCACAATTAGAGGTGCTCCAATTGTAGTTTTTTTCACGTTAAATCGTTGTGCCGGTATGTCGTTGATTGTTTGATTGAGATTGATATTCACTGTTTAAAATTCAAATATAATCACAAATCAATATTTCGAGAGTTTTTAAGATTTTTCAGCCAGATATAATGGGTGATAATTGATAATAGTGTTTGAGAATAGAGAGATAAAATAGATATATAAAAGGAGTATAATTGGTAATAAGTCCATTTCTATAGAAAATATGATATTAGATCCAAAGATTTATCTTTTATCGAGTTAAGAATATTATTAATAAAATTATTTGGTGAGAAAAAAAATCCCCAATTTTTGCTTTATTGTTGTTAGATAACTGTCGGACCACCATCGAAAATTTTGTTAAGAAAATAACCCACAAAAGTCATCGGTGGCAGCGATTAGTGGTGGTGGTGGTAGTCATGTGAACAGATAGACAAATAGGATGATGCGTCGATAGATAGATGGACAAATATATGACACATTGGTGATGTAAACAAATAAGTAGACAGTTGATAGATAGACAGATAAGTATGAATAATATGGTCTTTCAAATTATTTTGTCATTTTGACTCAAAAAACAAAAAATAGAGTTTAGGGCTGTTGTCCCAAAAGTTTTAAATTAAATTTACGCCCTGAGTATCCTATAAAAAGGTACAATGATAAAGATAGAAAAAAAAAAAAAAAAAAAAAAACTTCTAAAACAATTTTGTACTTCGCACTAATATATTTTATTAAGTATATTCTTATAATTAAAATAAATCAATCATCAAAACTAATGTTGTATAAATTTAAAAATATATATTTATCACTATTTTTTCTATTTAATATTAGTCTCATTTAAAATATATGGTTGAAATATTTTGGATAGTTCCAATTTTATAAAAATTGGATTATATATTAAAAATTATTTGTATTTTATAAAATAGTATAAACATCTCCATTGAGGTTTTCATAATTGTACAAAACATTGTTTTAAAATTTCTAAAATAACAGTAACTTTCCTATAATTTAACTGATAGATTTTCTTCATCTGTCCTTATCTTTGTAACCAAACACTATGAACCTCAAGACAATATCTTCATTTTAACCTGTTCTTTGTATCACTTCACCCTCTCCATTTGTCAATTCCGTTCAATTCTATGATAAAGAAATAAAAACTACATAATAACTTTTCAAGCGCTAACAATATGATTTGAACTCTTCAAATTAAATCAGAAAAGCTTGTGGGACCAAGCAACTGCAGTGGCACTTTAAACAGTTCTTATAAATACAAATTCAATCTCGGATTTCATATCAAATTAAATCTTAAGTCCCATCAAATGAAATCAATTACATAAATCTTTCTTCTTTACTTGACTCAATCCAACGTCATTTTGTTAGTCAAATTAAAAAGATTCATATCTCTATTCATTACACTAGTCTACGTCAATCTCGGATTGTATATTACCATTAATTAATGCCAATAATCCAAACTACAAGTGGCCAATGCAACCCTATTTATCGCATGCTTCTGGGACACAGAATGAATATATAGATATTAAATTCTGAGCAGCTAAATTCCAGCTATTTCTTTCTTACTATGTCTAGTCAACAAATGATATTATTATATGATTGAATCAATGTTTGGTTTATCTTTTTGCATTGACACAGTATCACCCACATCACTCAAAGATCTTGACTACTACACCAAACCAAAACTTTTGTGTGATGCGTGGTAGCCTAGTGTGTGAGAGCTCATTTTTATTCGATTTAATGAGCAAGTGTCTCTAGGTTTGAGTTTTCATGGGAGCGACATAGTTTCTATCCTCCTCTACTCTTGACTTTACTCATTAGGATTCTGGTAGGACTAAGGTCAAATTATGACTTGGCCCATCTTGAAGGATTGTCTACGGAATCTTTCTATGCAGACCCCCATTTTTCTAGATTTATATAGGTCTCTCCTGTCCGTCTTCTCAGGAAGTAGAATCTCTTTTGATCAGGGCAATGAGTATTGCTTGAGTTGGTTGGCCCAATATACACTTTTTTATCAAGCAAAAACGAGCCAATGTTTTCTTGGTACATTGAAAGGAAATTACATTTATGTACAACTCCCAGAATGAGAGAAGCTAAATTTATTTTGAAAAATTTAGCCAAAAATTTGTCAACATATGACATTCTCTTAATTTACAATTATTTCAGTGTTTCTTATTTATTTAATATTCTCTCTATTCCTATGGTTCATAATAGCATACACATTGTCCTACATAGAACAAATATGCACTACTATGACAATACTACATAAACACAAAAAGAGATTTGCTGCAAACATGAGAATTGAAAAGCTTGATTATTAATGTTATAGAAAATTTGTATTTAGCGGCAAGAAGAAATGTGCTATGCTTGACAATAAAAGACATCACTCAACACAAACACATGCTGAGGCAGTTGCTTAGCTCTGCATGCAGGATAATTATTTAGTAATCCTAGAGACATGTGCATTCTATAGTATTGTGATTGGTGGAGAAGGTGGGTAGGTGGAGTATTGTGTTAAGTGATTGAGAAATATAAAGGAACATATTGAATGATGATTGGTTAAAAAGTGCGGACAGTGGTATTTTGAGAATATTCTATAATTTCGCATGCATCAGGGGAGAAAATAACGGGACCACGAAATTTGGCTCAAAAAATAATTCGCTGGGCCCATGAAACAGCGATGCTGGGACCATTCTTCTATGGTTGTGAGTGTACCTCACATGCCGTTGTCTTTGCCTTGCCTCAGACCAGGACAAGTTAGTTGGAGATCAGAGGCCGAGCCAACTTAATTGTTTCGGATAATTTGAACCATCTCAAGGGACATCCATACAGGACTTTTAATTTAGTGATTTATATGTATACTATAACAAGCTTTGCAATGGATCATGTTTGGTTTCTTATTCATTTAGATTGGTCAATGCATTTTCTCAAAACTTAATTGATCAATAAGGCCCTGTTGGGTTGTTGTTTCTTCTTTCTTTTCTTTTTTTTTTATTTCTTTTTATTTTTTTATTTTGTAAATAAAAATAAAAAAAAGTTTGAAGCTGTGAAAGAAATTGATGTATTATTATTGATTGATATGTATGATTGATATATCTGTATA